GGATTAGGGTTTTCCAGAGTGGGGTTTGTACTTTTATACTCAATGGAGGTAACCATGAGCTTGTGTTTGGACCTTGGACTAAGATGAAAATTTGAATTGGACCAAAATTTTTTTTGTTAAGGGCTTTTATCTTAGGTTACACCGAAATAGGCAACTTAAAGTCGAATATACATATAGGGTTGTCAGAAAAGCTCGAAGCATTTGAGCTTGCCAAGCTCGACTCGAGCTTCACACGAGCCGAGCCCGAGCCTGTTGTGAGATTCACAAGCCTTAACGAGCTGAGCTCGAATAGCTCGTCGAGCTCAGCACTCATGCATGGTAGTGTTAGTCAGTACCGTAGACCCTTTTGTTACTTAGCTTGAACTTTTTTTATTTGTCTAAATGCTATGCTACCCAAGACATGTCACAACGAAGGCACATGTATGCTCAAAGTGCCTACATGTAGTACCTACCATGTAGCCTATATTACTGCCTTGTAAAAGCTTGTACTACTCTATGGTATGGTGTGCAGTTTTCTACATCTCCATCAATGCTCTGTTGCCATCCACTAGTATTTTTCCCCATAAAAGTGTGTGCATAGCACAACTTGTCACTACTACAACCATTTGTTTTGAGCACAGATTTTTGTTTTCAACCTATACCTCACAAGCTTGTGAAAGCTCGAGGCTCGGACGGGCTGAGTATGAGCTTACCTCTAAGCTCAAAGAGCGATAAGGCTTGGTTCAAGCTCGGCTTGAGTCTGTATCGAGCTCGAGCTTACCCAGACAAGCTCGCTTGAGCTCGGCTTGTTGACAACCCTATACACGTACACGCTCGCAGTATTAGTTGCCACCTGTCTAGGGTTTACGATTCCGAGATGGCCGTCCGTTTCGGGCTATGGCGGAATGACGGTTTTCAAGAAATCCGGTGGAAAACCGGTAGATTCCGAACAAATTTCATTGACCAAAATTTGAATATAAATTCCTTGAGTTTAACGTTAAGCTCACGAAAACCGGTCGGCTTTGACGAATTCCAAGCGAAATCATTGAAATTTCAATCGGTAACTAGAAAAAGAGGTAAACTGAAATTGTTTTCCTTATTTTAATTCGTTATTCTTTTCTTTCCTACTGTAAATTTCAGTAAAAATACGGAATACATCAATTTTTTTCGAAAATTTATATCCCAATAGGTTATATGAATATCATACTATTTAGAAGATTTTTTTGATTTTTCCCCTATTATCAATTAAAATTTGAATTTGGATGAAACTCATCAAAATCTTAGATGGTTTCTACTTTCCATCCTCGTCGAAACCTCGAAATTTTGCGAAATTCGACCGGTTTTCGTCGGCATTGCGAACTTTGCACCTGTCCGATGGAGTGAGCACACTAGAGGTGGCCAAACGGGCCGGGCCAAACGGGCGGCCCGGGGCACGGCCGAACCTGTAGCAGGCACGGCCCGGCACGGCCTGCTACAGTAACGGGCCGTGCCGGCACGGCACGAGTAGCCGTGCCGTGCTTGGGCCGCTGGCCGAGCCCGCGGGCCGGCACGGCACGGCACGGCTACTGTAGCGGCACGGCACGGCACGGCCCGCGGCACGGCACGGCCCGTTTCGCCGGCGGCCCGTCAGGCCGAAAGCGGGCCAGCGGCGCACTGACAGGGCGGGCGACGGTCGAATGGGAAGGCGCCACGTGGCACTAACGGCTATTTGACTGTTCAAATTTGAAAATAACCGTTGGGAGGCTAAAAAATTCATAAAAATTTCGAAAAAATTCCAAAAAATCTCAAATTTCGCCCTATAAATAGGGCATGAACCCCAGCCATTTCTCCTCATCCCACACTCCTCATCTTGTGCCCTCAAGTGTTTTAAGTGCTCTCTTTGTTCTCAAGTGTGCATTTTTTTTGATTTTGACAAAATTTGCTCAAATTTTGTCAAAAATCAAAATTAGTTTCGTAGTTCAACAGTTTGATCGCAGAGGTTTGAAGAGCTCGCGGTTGGAAAGATGTAAGTAATATTCAAATTTGTGTATTATTTGTATTGTGTTTGTGAATTCAATAAATATTCGAAAATTTGTTTATGTCGGTTTAAATTTTCAGAATGGATCCGAACTTTCCATACCAGTCGCCGTCGTTCACCTTGGGTGATTTCGACCCCAACTACATGTCGGGGTTTGACGATACCTCCGGATCGGCTCCAACTCCACCATCTGTGGAGGAGGTACCGGTTCATACGGCTGTCGTTGAGGAGGTACCGGTTCAGGCGGCGACAGCTTCGGAAGGATTTTCCGGAACCGCGAGCGGAAGTGTTTCGACACACACCGGCTCGAAGAGATCGAGAACCTCCGGTGTGTGGCAAAACTTCGACGAGATAAAGGAAACATGCCCCGACGGAAGGGAGGTATCGAAAGCCCGTTGTAGAATATGTAGGCAAATTTTATCTGCTCGTTCTTCTGGTGGTACAGGTCACCTCAAGCGCCATGCAGAGTCGTGTGCCAAGAAGCAAGGAATACAACTCCGGCAGCAGCAACTTATGGTAAACCCAGACGGTACGGTACGCAGTTGGGAGTACGATCCCATGGTTGCTCGGGAATCTCTTGTCCGGTTAATCGCCAGGCAAGATTTACCCCTGAACTTTGGGGAGTTCCCTGCTTTTGAACATTACATTCAGCAATCTCATAACCCTAGGTTTAAAGCTGTGAGTAGGCAAACATCAACTAGAGATTTAGAGAATGTTTATCACAAGGAAGCAACTGCACTTAAGGAACTGTTTAGTACATGTACTTTCTCTGTTAGTGTTACTTCAGATATATGGAGTAGTAGAGCTAGAGAGGATTATCTTAGCGTAGTTGTTCATTTTGTTGATGATGATTGGCAATTACAAAAGAGAGTTTTAGGGCTTAGGTTAATAGATGTCTCACATACAGGAGAAAACATAGCTGAAAGAATTAGGGAAGTAATTAATGAATTTAATCTTGCTGATAAAATATTTGCTGTCACCCTAGATAATGCATCTGCTAATTCTAGGGCTATTGAAATATTGCAACCTTTATTTTGTGTGTATGCTCAATCTTTTCTACTCCATCAGCGTTGTGCATGTCATATAATTAATTTGATTGTTAAGACTGGCATGAAGAGGGTAGGTGACCACATCGATGCTGTTCGTCAAGCAATCGCGTGGTTAACTGCTTCTAACCCGCGGATTGCTGCATGGAAGAGGTTTTGCAATGCGGCCGGTGTGAAAGCTCGTAAGTTTGCCACCGATGCAGAGCATCGGTGGAATGCAACGTATTTAATGTTAAAAGTTGTTTTACCTTATAGTAGTTTACTTTCTGATTTTGTTCAGTCACGTGGTGGCCCAAGAAACAGTGACGGGTCTTCAGTACTGAACGAGCATGTTTGGGCAATTGTCCAAAAATTTCACCAATTTCTAGAAACTTTTTATGATTGTACTATAACTTTGTCACAAGTTTATTATCCAACTGCTAATATAATTTTGCACAACCTTCTTGAAATTGCTAATTTATTTAAAGAATACGAAAATGATGACGTTCTAACTGAACCTGTCTTTCACATGAAACAAAAATATTTGAAATATTGGAAAAATATACCTATGTTGTATGCTTTTGCTTTTGTTTTAGATCCTAGGTGTAAATTAAGGGGATTGTCTGCTATTTTATCACTTGTTGGAGATACTATAGGTGTAGATTATAGTTCTTTTTATACTGAGGTTAGACGTAAATTATATGAGGTTTTTGGAAGATATGAAGTAAAGTTTCAGGAAGTTCGCCAGCAGAGACCCCCTCCTATCCCCACTACAGGTAAGAAGAAGATACAGTGGGGTAGGATTTGGGGTGGATCGTCTTCAATCCAAGGTGGTGGCAGTTCGTCGGCTACAAGTGGAGACGCCTCTTCGCATGTTGTGGCCGAAGAGTTGTCCGGTTATTTGGACAGCGACGCTATCCACCACGAAGCACAAGATTTCAACGTCCTCGGGTGGTGGAATGACCACAAGATAACATATCCTGTGCTTTCAAAACTAGCACGGGATGTGTTGACGGTGCCCGTGTCGACGGTGTCCTCCGAATCGGCCTTCAGTCTATGCGGCCGAATCATCGAAGACCGGAGGACGACTCTGCGCAGCGACCACGTCGAAATGCTACTAAGCGTTAAAGACTGGGAGCTTGCTCGACAACATGCCCAATACACTGCGGACAACCAAGAATTGGCCGCCCAGTTCGAGCAACTCTACCTGGATCCAGACCAACCCCAGTAGAATTTTGTTAGAAGTAGTTCTGACCTTTGAGCTGTACTCTTTTCTTTGTCATGGTTTTCTCATTTTCCCCTATGAGTTTTTACATGACAAAGTTTTTAACGAGGCAGCATGTATCATTGTATCCTGTAATGATATAAACATCAATAAAGGTCATTACTATTTTTAACAAATTCTTTTGCAATATTTTCGCAAGTGTGGATTTATCTTTAAATTATTTCAAAATAATGAATCACAATCTATATTTTTAAATTTTTCAACACAACAAAAAAATACCATTTTTTCTTTTTTTTAACATTAGCAAATCATTACTTTTTTTAAAAACTTTTATTTCCATTTTTTAAATACCATTTTTTCATTTTTTAACATTAGTAAATCATTACTTTTTTTTAAACATTTTATTTCCATTTTTAATTTTTTTTTCCTTATACATTTCCTTTGCTTTTTTTTAAAAAAAAAACACTGTGCACTGGGCCTCAGCTGCCGGCCTGCCTTCACGGGCCGCCGTGCCCCGAACGGCCCGTGGGCCGCAGGCGTGCCGTGCCGGCACGGGCACGGCCCGGCCATCCACGGGCCGTGCTTGGGCCGGCGGCTCGGCACGTGGGCCGGCACGGCACGGCCCGTTTCATCAGCCGTGCCTAACGGGCCGTGCCGAAACGGGCCGTGCCGGACCCGTGCCCGTGCCGGGCCGGGCCGTGCCGCCCGTTTGGACACCTATAGAGCACACACAATCGATCAACGTCTCGTGCAACAGAAGATCCCCATCTCAGTGCGGATCGTCGTCATCACAGTCTCCTTCCCCATCTCAGACTCAGATCGATCTAAACTCTTCACTGAACCCAGCCGCCGCCGCCGCCGCCGGCTGCCCCCCTCCGCCGCTCACCGGCGACCAGCCATGGCTCGAGCCCCTTCCTTCCTCCTCCTCCCCTTACTCCTCCTCGTCTCCTCCTCGCTCACGCCCGCCGCCACGGCGGCCGCGTTTGTCGGCCTCGACTCCTTCCTCGCGGCGGCGGCCGCCCGCGACCCCTCCGCCGGCAACGACACCTTCGGCGCCCTCCCCGCCGCGCTCCTCCGCCAGCTCTCGACCCCGTCCCCGCTCCTCCCCACCCGCCTCCTCTCCCTCTCCGCGCAGGTCCCCGTCACCGTCCGCCTCGCCGGCGCCTCCTTCCCGCCCGCCACCGGCCGCCTCCTCGAGTCCTTCGTCAACTCCGCCGTCTCCTCCTCGCGCTTCCTCTCCAGCCGCCGCCCGCACCGCCTCGCGCTCTCCCACAAGATCCACCTCGAGGTCGCCGCCTCCTCCTCCCAGCTCGCGCCCCGCGCCGCCGCCGCCGTCCGCGCGCACCTCGACTCCTCCGCGGCGCCGTTCCACGCCGCCGCGCTCTCCTCCGTCCCTTACTCCGTCGTCGACGACCTCGTCGCCGAGGACTACCGCGCGCTCGTCGACACCGGCTCCGCCCCGTCGGTGTACATCTACCTGCTCAACCTCGGCCCGCAGCCGCGGCCGTACGCCTACACCGCGGCATCGTCGCCGGCCGATGCGCATTCACCTGGCTTCTCCCGCTGCCTCGCCCCCGTCTGGGCTGGCAAGGAGCGGTACATTTGGATCGACCTGGGTGCAGGGCCGGTGGACTATGGCCCTGCGCTCTCCGGTGAAGGCGTGCTCCCCCGTGGCGAGTTCCACCCTCTCGCCGCGCTCCACGGCCGGCCGAGGTCGGAGAAGGCATTGGTTGCTGATCTTGCTTCGCTGGTGCTCAGTGCTTACAAGTCATTGCTAGTGCCTTCGCTCAGAATTCCAGTGCATTACGAGAGCTCGTTGCTGGTTCAGGTCTTTCACATCCATGGACACGAGAGGGATACGTCCGGGCTTGATTGGGGTTCGATCGAACAGTCGATTCGTGATGGGAATCTGGCATATGAAGGGCAGAGGTTGAAGTTTGATTTGAACAGGATCAGGTTCTCTGACTGCCCAATTTGCTCGTTTGCGGTTGCGCGGTCGACAACCTCGTTTACGTCCAGGTTCTTGTTTGATAATTACACGCTGATTGTGAGTGAATACTTGGACTCCAAGCGGATGAGGCAGGTGCTGTCTGACTCGTTGGAAGAGTTGCACAAGGTGGCTGGTGTTCATGATAATGATGACTATGACAAGGTTGTGCCAGTTTTTGTGTTTGATTTAGATTATGATAAGCTTCTGTTGCTAGATAGGTATCACCAGGCAGTGGCTTTTCGTGATATGGTGATTTCTGTGAGGACAAGGAGCTCACAGACGGTCAGCGACTACAGCTGTAATGGTCGACATGTGATTACAATGACTAGGAATCTTGACCGGCCGATCATCGCTTCAGTTCTGCAGAGCATGTGGGGTGTGTCACCGACACACCAGTCATGGAGCCCTGAGCACAATGCTACCGTCGTTGACTACACTTGGAGCACTGGACATACACCATTTGGCCCATTCTCAGAGACCAAATCGCTTTCTTTTGTGCAGAAAGATGCAGCCCGTAGGAATGTTCTTCTAACCACTCTGAACTACACAATCACAAGCGCTATTGATGTTTTGGAGTCAATGGCTGCGCATGGTGGAGAGAGTATACTCCTTAGAAGGAAAAGGCGTGTTGAATTCATTCAAAGATGGAATCTGCTCACTTATAAACTGGAGAAGGTGGTCTCAGCCATGTCCCGCCTCGACTACAATAAAGCGATGTACTTTCTGAGATCGTCAGATCATGATCTGTTTGCCGTCCACACTTTGGTGTATCAGGCGTCTCAGGAGTTGGAGGCTTCTCTGGTTTGCTTCAAAGATCCACCATTTCCCTGGTTGTCAGTTTCCATGTCTGGAATTTTCGTTTTTGGTTTCTTTTATGTTTACTCGAAGAGAGATAAATTGTTCAGGAGCAAAAGGAAACAGTTTTGACTGCACTTCAGTTCACGGATACTGTTTGAATGCTCATCTTGATACCATAGTCAGGATTCAGAAAAGTTGCATCCTTGCATAATACATGGAGATGTCACTGGATGCATGAAACGGGTGCATCTTGTTTTAAACAGATGAATTCACTTGTACGAGATATACTGGATTTCCTTAGGAAGCACTACTTCCACTAGTTTTGTAAGTTGCATGTGCCCAATTCACTCGGTACATACTGTTGATCTAGATTCTGGAGACATGCATATATGTTTTCTATTCTTGACTAGCTTAATTACTGTCATACTTGCTGGGTGCATAACCTATGTGGGATGCTGTGCTCAATTGATCATGTGTAATTTCGAGATGTCAATTTTTCTAAACAATGCCTTTGCAGGATATTTTAAGCTGATTCTTTAAGAACTATGATTGTGGCTTATATTCGCAAAGTTGGTTGTAAGTCAATAGGGTTTTTAGTCCAGTTCCTTTGTAGCACTCTTTGTTTTTTATCTGCTTGTTATTCTCTCAATTCTTTGTTTCTATTCAAGTGCCTCAGCCTGTGAAAGTATGCAAGTTTATCCCAAACGAGATGTGTGCTTGTGCTCTAGTGACTCTTTAGAGCCTATAAATTAGATCATTGCCTGATAATAGTAACTGTAATCATTTTAGCTAATTAGAATTACTTAAATGCCAGCAAAATATCACAATGTAAATGCTAATCACAAACTGGAGAAGTACTTGTGTTCATTTGGTTTAGAGATGTCTGAATTTAGTGCTTCCTTTTAACTTGGAACATTAGTCCCCTGTATTAGGTTGTTTTCTTGCCTACCCTATGATACATGATGAGCTGCTACTGCAGCGATCATAATTTGTTTGCATGTGTGATTTAATTCTTTTTATCCACTTTTAATTTTTACAGAATATGTTAAGGTCATTTCTGTACTCTCTCTCTCTCTCTCTCTCTCTCTCTCTCTCTCGCAATGCAAACTTGGCATATACACATACACATAGGCTCAGCTGCACCAGAGATGCATTTTTTGTAATACAGTACAAACTTAGCAAGTGCAACATGTATAAATATAGGTTCTGCTGCACGAAAGACATAGTTATGAGATGCTGTACTATGCTATATTGCTATTGTAGTTTTCAGTCTCTGTGGATGGGAAAACAAAAAAAAACCTATCTAGTTTTCATAGTTATGCCCCATGGATTTTACTTAAGTACTCCGCAGTCAGGCCTGTGAAGGTTTGGCGGCATACAAAATGTACTGCAGCCTCCTATCCCCAGAAAGGAAAGCTAGTCATGCGAATAGCAGCATATATAATCAAACGATCAGTGAGAACCAACATGAAACGGCAAATCTTTTATCAGCAATCAAACATAGGTACACACATAGGTAGCTGATTATATTAGAAACCACTGGAAAAACATTCTGTATCCTGTTGCATAATATGCTCGAAGAAACATAACATCGTCGAAGAAACAAGTACGAGAAGGCACAGGAGGCAAACACTTCCTCCCGTACCTAGTTGTGAACTTGTGACTTCGTTCTTCAGGCCCCCGGCAGGCAAGGGTTCTGAAATCTGAATTACTACTCTGCAATTCCAAGCAACAGCAAATGAAGTTAGCCTGGAAATCTGTAAGGACTAGAGAACTTACTAATCAGGCAACTAAACGTACCAGTAATATGCCCATTCTAACGCTAGGGTGCAATTATATTTTTAAAGAAAAAACTAAAAAAAATTATGTCAGTGAAATATATTTTCTTATGATTTGTGCAATAGAGTTTTAGTTCAATTCATGCCGTATATCCAGTGTACTTAAGGCGACAAGGCGGCCCACCCCTGCTCAATTGCCTAGGTGACACCTTAAGCGTTTAAGACAAGGGTAAGACAACGCATTACACACAAGTACAAGAGGCATGCTAGAGATCTATGAGGCAGAAAAGAGAGGAAGAACATGAAGGGACGAGGAAGAGCATGGAGACGGATTCATTGGAGAAGAAGGGAGCAGTAGAAGGGAGAGAACCATCATCTCTTTCCATCTTTCCCACTCCACTCCCCTCCCCTCCCCTATTCTCTTTCTATCTTTTCCTGTCGGCTGTCGCTATGTTTCCAATCTCTGCTCGTCCTATTCTCTGTTCTCTTTCCATCTTTCACCCTTCCGTCTCCCTAAATTGTCACTCACCCGATTTCCATCCTATCTTTATGCGATTTCATTCCCAGCATGCGTAATTCTATACAGCGTATGCACCCTTGACCCTACCTTGCCCATGTCTACCTAATTTTACGAGATATTAGGATCCAAGACGTGTAGAAAGGTAGGCGGTGGCAACGCTTTGCTCCCTGATGGTGCTCAGACGCCTAGGCAACGCTTTTAAAATCATGCGTATATCAAATTTAATGATATGAATATTGTATGAAAATAATAATTCACAATCATCCACAATTAATATAGAATCACTTTCATATAAAACATACTCCTACTTGTGCAGCGGCACTCTCACTCTGTGAACCTGTAGAGCTTGAAGTGGCCACCATGGCAGGTTTGTGTGGTTCATGTATGGGGTGCAGGTGCAGAGGAGCACCGCCTGCACCGCCTGCACCTTCTGCAGGTGCGGCGCTGTGCACAACATGAGCAATTGAGCGTGCTGGAGCTGGGCAAACTCTGAGGACATCCCCTTCAACACCCGGGGCAGTGGGGAGAACAATTTGGCGAAGCCGATGATACAACGCAAAGACAGGTTCCAGGCAGGACAGCAATGTGGCTCGATCCATTTCTGCAACGCGCTATATTTCAGCCTTTGATTAATTAGCTCCACTACTTGGGTTGTGCAATGTGCAGTCGACTTTGTTCGTTCTTGGGTATTTATGCAGCATTTTCAGTCAGAGATGGAGCTAGGTTACATCCGATGGGTAGACAATTTAACTACCCCCGATGGGCTGAATTATCTTTGTGGTTTATATTCGCAAAGTTGGTTGCAAGTCAATAGGGTTTTTAGTCCAGTTCCTTTGTAGCACTCTTTGTTTTTTATCTGCTTGTTATTCTCTCAATTCTTTGTTTCTATTCAAGTGCCTCAGCCTGTGAAAGTATCAAGTTTATCCCAAACGAGATGTGTGCTTACTTGTGCTCTAGACCTCTAGTGACTCTTTAGAGCCTATAAATTAGATCATTGCCTGATAATAGTAAGTGTAATCATTTTAGCTAATTAGAATTACTTAAATGCCAGCAAAATAGCATAATGTAAATACTAATCACAAACTTGAGAAGTGCTTGTGTTCATTTGGTTTAGAGATGTCTGAATTTAGTGTTTCCTTTTAACTTGGAGCACTAGTCCCTTGTATTAGGTTGTTTTCTTGCCTACCCTGTGATACATGCTGAGCTGCTACTGCAGTGATCATAATTTGTTTGCATGTGTGATTTAATTCTTTTATCCTGTTTTACTTTTTACAGAATATGTTAAGGTCATTTCTGTACTTTTTTTTTGGCAATACAAACTGCAGTGGCGGACGCAGCTTTAAAATATAGATGGAGCGGAGAACGAAGATGTTCACTCGATAAAAGCAATCGAATACAACACATATCGTATTAATAATTCATTCGTATAAGTGTCTCAATCTGCCACCGCCGCTGTCACCTCCACTCCGTGCCGAGCCACTATCACCTGACGAGACTGCTACCATTGCTTCCTCCTTGTGCTGAGCCGCCATCATTGTTGTTGCTTCATCTCTGCTACCTGGGAGAGCTCTGTGGATATGGATTGGAGAAGGAAAAAGGGAATCTAGGTATTATAAACACTAGGGGTACAAAGGTCAATCAATAAATGAAAAAAACATTACTATCTCCGTCTCAAAATAAGTGCAGCCGTGGATATCCGTGCTTAACGTTTGATCGTCCGTCTTATTTGAAAAATATGTGAAAAATTTAAAAATATTTAGTCACACATAAAGTACTATTCATGTTTTATTATCTAATAGCAATAAAAATACTAATCTAAAAATTTTTCAAATAAGACGAACGGTTAAACGTTGAACGTGAATAGTGTAAAACTGCACTTATTTTGGGATGGAGGGAGTACTTATTTTTTTTTACTTCTTTAGCTTATTGATCCCGAGTCCACTAAATTCTGTTAAAAATATGGGTAAACGTCTACTTCACTTAAAAAGTAGGGGCAAAAATGAAAATCCAAAAAAAGGGGTCAAATCCAATAACGAACACCTAAAAAACCGGGTCAAAGCCAGTATTGAAAATCAAAATAGGGGTAAGAACGAAATTATGCCAAAATGTTTTGTTTTTCCATCGGTCGTTTATATTCACTGACATCCATATAAATTTGGACACATCTACCGGTGGTGGAGCTTCCGGTATGGCCCGAGATTAACTCTTTAGCTAGTGCCGACCTCTATGTGTATTTATGTAGTAGTGATGAACTTGACAGATGGTTGTAACCTAGTGTACAATCTTGTAAAACATTCGTTTTACTGCATAAACTTGTCTAATACATGCGGAATAAGGGCAAAACGATAAGTTGTGGCTAATAATGTTGAATTAGGGTTTACTTAGAATGGAATATGTACACACAGTGGGTCGTAAGACATGCTACATGTGTGAATAGCCCTCTACTTGATATTTATTTTTGTTCTTCAACTGTTCTTAATTCATTGCATCCTTCGTTTTACTTCATATTATTTGTTTCTTTACTTAGTGTCCGTTATTATACATTAATTTGACCGAGTATATTTATGTCTACATGGCATCATCCTGATATGTGACCAACATAGCATTTTAATTAATATTTAACTAAGTAGAATTAACCATAACATGCCCATTTGGCCTGGGTTCTCAAGGAGCGAGCAGACAAGTTTGTGCACCAAAACAAACGTTTTACAAGTTTGTGTACCAGATTACATCCACCTTCACAAATTTATGTACTGGCGGTGCAATTTACTTAATACTTATTAACCTACTCCTAGATAATCCAAGCAAACAATAATTATATATTAGTATAACGAACGGTTTGAATAAACCTACTCCCGTATAATGTATTAGTATAACTACTCCCATATACTGGCAAAGCTGAATACATAAGGACACGTTTTTATTGCTCTAAGCCGCTAACAAATAGAGTAACAAATAGAGTATAGAGGAACAAATAGAGGAGTGCAGTAGTAAGCTTCATTCTAAAGGTAATTTTACCGTCATAAAGAAAATACAAAATACCGGGAGTTAATATATTTTTAATATAAAACTTGATACTTTCGTGTAGTTATTTTGAGGTGCTAAAATTTTTAGTGTAAAACTTTAGTGTTTATATGTACTAGTACAGTACTTAATTAAGAAACGTATTTTATCAAATTCCTAAAGGACAAAACACACAGTGAGCGAGTATCTTATCACGGATCAATATCGTAGTTGTTGGTGGTTTT